GAAACATCACGGAATTTGCCTGGAGAGACTGAGAAAATCCAAGAGAAACCTGTCAGGACGATTGGTGCTCTAGCCGAGAATCGAATCAAGGACTCCAATACCAAATTATTGCTTGGGCCAGCTGCTTCGATGGGTGAACGATAAGACTGATGGGTGAACTGAAAAACAAATGGGTAGATGGGTAGGAAGAGACGGGGCCGCTGCCAATCAAAGGCTAGCTAAGACAGAAGAATTTACGTGTGCTGTAGTTACAGAGATTTTTGGAGTGCGTAACTCAATGAAACTATCGCATTTATGTGTAGTTACAATCTGTAAGTGTTCAATAAATCCGATTACACATGCAAACCCCGTGTTTAGTCACTAGAGGGCATGACAATATATAGGTGGCTGGATGGAGCGCAGATAGGATACGCAGGGGGTGGGTAGGTGTGGGTGGATGTACGTATACGCAACGGAAGGGCGTCACGTGTGTTGTATTACTGAAATGGTTAAAGCTTGTTTGTTGCCATTTAATTAACAAATCATTTCAGGCGATTTGGCACAAAAACGACGTGAATTCAATGGATGACACAGTCAGTGACTCCTGAGCTACCAGTGTCCGTGCGAGTGAGGGTGTTTGCTTTGCAGTCAGCTGCCATCTGACCGCAGTCACTGACCGTCAGCAGTGTCATGACTTCAGGGAATTCTTATTTTCTTTAGATGCCAGACGGTTGGCATGTCGACGTAGGTTTCCTTCGTTTTCCTCTGTCTTCAAGCAAATGCTGAGATGTTTCCTATGTTCCAAGTTACTGCAGCGTGATTCTCCTGGGATTTTTTTTTTTGGGGGGGGGGATTTGCATTATTTCAAACTTTGCCCATAAAGTGAGATTTCATTAATGTTTTCACGTACTATGTGTGACTATCGACGGGGTATGGATTGATGACTGCATTTGTTTTCCTTGGCACTACAGCCCCAGTGGGCCTAGGCCTACCTCCATGAACTTCTCCGTTCACTTCGGTTTTTCTAGATCTTACACATTCGGTAGGACTCCTTGGGCGGGTGATCAGCTCGTCTCAAGGCCTCTACCTGTACACAAACACAGAAAAACGCACACACACAAACTAAACATCCATGACCTGCGTGGGATTCGAACCCACGATCCCAGTTTCCGAGCGAACGAAGACTTTAAAGCAATTACAGCGCCACCGCTGAACTCCGCAATTCACAGATCACCACAGCACTTGTTACGCCATTTTCCTGCCTGCCGTATCTTCACCAGCCGTTCCCTGGCAACGGCTTCTAATAGTCGAGATTCTTCATCTTCACGCTTTCAGGTCTTCTCTTCACAGCTTCCCGGGCAGAACTCAACTGAACTCAAAGTCAAAGTCACATTACGGCTGACGGTCAGTCAGTCAGTCAGTCTTGGCGTCGAGCCCTATCTGGGGCTCATGACCAGATAGGTATTACTGTTTGACATATACAGTCTTGTTTTTGTGGGAAGTCCTCTCTGACAAGAGGACTGGTCTGTCTTTTGAGCATGCTTCTCACCCTTGCCAACGCAGTTTTTCTGGGGTTCGAGTCCCGTGGGACTCGCGACCAAATTTTACTCTCTCAGATTTGAGACTTCCCTTTTCGTCGCCTCCTACGACTCGCAGGGTCACGGTGGAGGTATTCAACCCCGCCTCCACAGGGGAACTAAACTGACTTCGTCCCTTGCTTATAATATCTCAGCACTGACCACATAAAAACTCTTCCATTGTTGCGCCTGGACAGCAACGGCCGCAGCGCGGACCACAGAAAACACTGTTCTTCTATTGTTGCGTGAGTGTATGTTGCGGACGTTACCTAACAACGTTCACTGTTTACAAATCATCGCTTAGCAACGAGTCTAAACGCCACATTATTTTGTATACTGCACTCTTTCAAATTTGCATAATTCAAATTCGCATAAAATGCGGACCGCACAGTATTTCTCGCTCTCGGGAAGCGTTGGCAGAAACACCTTGACGATTTAGGTTCAGAAACTATACCCCGCAGATATAGGCTTCATTGCGCAACAATGAACCTCCAGTCCTACCGCCAATCAGAAAGGGATGTAGAATTTTACGCAGGAAGTTTATAGAAAAACAATAGCGGAAAGCGTCATAGCGGCGACTTCCTGTACATTTTCAGACTAATACAAAAACTCTTTCAATCTATATAAATAAAAATAGGTAATAGAATTTTACACAACAATAACGAATTCATGGTTGTCTGATAAAACAGTCGTCTAAAACTGCAAACATTTTTTCTTTCAATCTGCATTCATCGTGACGACAAAAGGACTCAGTATCGATACACAAAGGATATCTCGATAGTCACGTATACAACACCTTCTGCGTGAATACATTTTAACAGGATATGTTAAATGAATATACTTCTTGCAGAAGGACGCATTTTTCCTTTCTTCGACAGAATTTATCAGTCGGGTTTGCGTACGCTGTACGTCTCTTTGATGTTCCGCCTGACTGAAAATGCCCAGCATATTATTGGAAACTGTGAAGTACCGGCGATCAAAAAAAAAATTAACACCACATGAATTATTTACACGTCTCCAATTCGCGATTAATTTTACCCCTGCAGTTGCTATAATCTGCACTCATCCAGTCATATTCCTTCTATAAGTTTGTGAAGATGGTGTTTCTGGACATTACTCGTTGTCCTGTTCCTATTTAAAACACGCAACGTTTCAGAGGCTGGATTCTGCCTCCATCTTCAGGTGGAAACTATTCAGGTGAGCCAAATCGACAGAGGTAGTTCCTATTTCCGGAGAACGCATATTGGGAATAGAGTATTTGTGTGTCAGGCCGTCCGTATGTTTCATTTAAGAAACCACTGGATGAATTTTGATTAAATTTGACATCAGGACTGGGAACCTTACGTTGCTGGGGCAATTCAACTTCAGTATGTTTAGTCACACCGAAAAATTTCCACATTTTACAAAATTTAATTTTAATTTCTATTAGACAAAACGTAATCCCTGTTTTACATTAATTACAAATAAGACTTAATTAATTTTGTCAAAAACACCGGTCGGACTAGGTCACGCTTGTGTATAACAACACAGAGAAGCTCAAAGTAATGTATTTCTTATTTAAGTACACTGAATATTTGAGGAAATGAAACGATACACATTTTCTAGCTCCGTGCAATGTGACTAACTTCCAGATAATATTTACAATCCACAAATCAAACTCATTATTACTATGGCTCTACAGCCCTTTGTTGGGCCTTGGCCGTTTTCTTAGTTTCTTGATCCTATACACAGTCGGTAGGGCTCCTTGGAAGGGGGATCAGCCAATCGCAAGGCCGCTACCTACACAGAACAACAAAAACACAGACATCCGTGCTTTGAGAAGGATTCGAACCCACGATCCCAGCGTTCGAGCAGGCGAAGACAGTTTATGCCTGGAGCGCGTGGCCACTGCGATCGGTAAATTTAACTCATACTTGACGATATCTCCTGGCCCCTTCATTTGTTGCATTTACGAAAGAACCTAATAGAGCAACATGAAATTTAGTAAGAGTGATTTATACTAAAAATCTAGCGTCCATGTCGATAGGAGTTCTGCTGTCTTGTTACTTTATTCTTCTACACGGAAGACAGAGGCGACATGTTCCTCTGAAAGTTTTTCCTCGTGCATCAAGCTACACGGCGTCATTTCCCAGAAGACCCTGCTCCGGCTTCACATTAATTCGGTTGGTTTGCTGACAGGCGCTGCGGCAGATCGAACCCACACGCTTTGTCTATCGCGTCTAGGAGGGTGTGTCATTCCTTCAGTACGCAGCCTAGCGGAAGGAGAGTTCCGCGTGCTCAAGCAGATCTCAGGCTTCCTGAGTTCGGTTCCCTCTGTACGTTGCATGTACAGTATTTTTTCATTGCTAGTGGGGTGGGACTAAGTCCCTTGTACTGCGGCCACTTCTGGCCTATTGTACCAGCCCCAGATGATAGGTGAGGGTGATTGTGGAGCAATTGGTGGAATGAAGATTGGCAGGGGAAACCGAAGTACTCGGAGAAAACCTGCCACAGCGCCACTTTGTCCACCACAAATCCCACTTGACCAGACCCGGGATCGAATCCGGGCCGCTGCGGTGGAAAGCCAGCGACTAACGGCGGCCCTCGCATGTACAGTAACCCCTCGTTATAACGGACAAAATATGGCTGTGTATAATTACAAATGTTTAGAGATGCTGCGGCACTAAGAAGGTTTTGTAGTTAGAAAACTATTTAAAAGAATAAGAAACAACCCAAATATAAATCGCATCGTGCTTTTCTATGTTTACTGCGTGAATTGGCTATTTATCCTATTGTGCACTGCAGTGAATACTATATTATAGCGGACACTCTGCCCTCCTCAATTAGTCCGTTATAACATGGGTTGACTCTGTACTCTAGTAACTTGCTAATGACGTCACAGTCTACGTCACTATGTCACGATGACGCAGGCTGAAAGATGATTTAGGCAGAGAACAGCAGTGACAAATTACAACGGTTGTTTAAAATCAGGTTCTGAACTGAACGCTCATCCTGCGATGCCGTAGTAGCAGGTTTGCGAAAATTACATAATGAAGAGCTTCATAACTAGTATTCGTAGCCAAATATAATTAGAATAAACGAGTGAAGGAGGATGAGATGGATAGAGCATGTAGCACAAATGGGGAGGAAAGGAATGCACATAGGATTTTGGTGGGAAAGCCAGAAGGAAAGAACAACTACGAAGACCTAGACATAGGTGAGAGGATAATATTAAGATGGATATTAGAGAAATAGAATGGGATGGTATAGGCTGGATTGTTCCGGCGGATGATTGTGAACAAGGTAATGAAATTTCGTTTTCCATAAAATGTCGGGAAATTCCTGAGTAGGTGAGCCACTGACGGCTTCACAAAGACTCAACTCCGTGGAGTTAGTTATGGTTATCCTGCGGTCTGCCACAATATCTGCGCTTACTGTACGCACGTCTGTCTGGTTTCATTGCAGGATTCAGGATGTCTTCCATCAAAGCAACAAAACTCGTGCTGGTGATGTTGGTAGCCATGCTAACGCTGAGCTGGGCTGTAGGCAAGAACCTGGGACAGCCTGGAGAAAAGGACCGCCTCATCAGCGAATTGGATGTGAGTTCCGTCACAGATGGTGCTGCACTAAGCCTGGGACTGGAGCATTTTCCGCTTCAGACAGGTTTCCGTTCTATTAGAGATTCAATTAATTCTCCTGCAGACATTATGAAACACGTGGTTCAGATGAGTGGACAGGCAGTTATAAGCTTAAAAACAGCCTGTGTTTAATTATATCCATACCTCTAAGATTTGCGGAAAAACTGTATCAGGAATAGAATGTATGTTTAATTCTTACCTACATCTTTTGTTCGAAAGAGTTTTTTCTCAGATAAATGACACGCACGAGTTACGCTCGACATAAGATAAGAAAGGTCTCTGTGTCTCCTCGCAAATTATCCATTAGTTTTGGTAATTTTTAATAGAAACTCGACCATGCTGACAAATTACGGTACAGTTAGCTAACATTATGAGCCGGGATAGCTCAGTCGGTATAGTGACTGGCTACGGGCTGGACGACCAAGTGCTCGGAGTTCGAGTCCCGGTGGGGTCAAGAATTTTCTCTTTTTCATGTCGTCCAGAATGGCTCTGCGGTCCACCCAACCTCCTATCCAATCGGTACCGGGGCTCCACCCCGGGGGTAAGGCGGCAGAGGCGTGAAGCTGATCATTCACCTCCAGTTACGTCAGAGGTCAAGAGAAAGTTGATTTATACATCCACTCCCCCATTCGCCTTCATGGCGTGGGCTTAATTATTTAAGCACAGGGACAACTTCACCTTTTTCTTTTCATTGGCCCTACAGCCCTCATTTGGGCCTAGGCCTACCTCCATGAAACCCTTCGTTTCACTTCGGTTTAATAGATCTTGTACATACGGTAGGACTCCTTGGGCGGGTGATCAGCTAGTCGCAAGGCTTCTCCCTGTACACAAACACAGAAAAACGCACATAAACATCCATGCCCTGAGTGGGATTCGAACGCACGATCCCGGTTTCCGAGCGAGCGAAGACAGTGCATGCCTTAGACCGCTCGGCTACCGTGACCGGCCAACTTCACCGTTACCTTAGCTAAAATTAAATTTCATGGAAATCCGTTCTTGGTTCTCGAGTTGTTACGTGTTGACAGGCGGACTGACAGAAGCTAATAGACGCAGTTTTGTAACTTTTCACTGTGTACGAGTTAAAAATTATTTTTTTATATAAACCTAGCTTTTTAATTTCCAACTGGGCGTGGATGATGAAATCATATAAATTAAATGTCACTTTGTCAGGGCTAGATAATTAACAACAGAAACCATTGCAGAACCGAAGGCGTCGGTAACACTGTAATTACATCCAACGTCGATTTCGCCTCACGCGTGAATACAAACTGTGGAAATGAGAAAAGCAATTAATTGACAGACACCGGGACGTTCCCTTGTTACGAAATATTCCCTTAAAACTGAACGCAGAGGATATGGCTTGTTTGACTTGGCGCAATAAGTTGCTGTTCCACAGAAGGGGGGAATCTGTGCTCGGTAAATACACGGTTTTAGTTGGTAGTTTTCACGAATGCCATCGAGACAGGAAAGCGATGTTTCCAGGACAAAATGAAGCAAATATCATAGCGCATATTGCAGGCAGTTACACGCAAGCATCTGTGACAATATTCGTGTTCGTCGTCCCAGCTTTTATCAGAGTAAAGAGAAAGTTTTCGTAAAACAGACTATAACAATAGCAAAGAGACTAATGTCATTCGTGTTATACGAGATTTCCAATCGTGTGACTTACTGTTTTCATCCTTATAAACCTCTTGTCGACAGAATGAAATATCCGTGAGGATGATTCATCATCAGATGGTGACACAGATCGCAAGAGGATCATCGGTAAGGTACTAAATTCTATTCTGAACACGCGATGATAGAAGAAGTCGCCATTCGGTAACGTCATGGCTTTCCTTTGTGGTACATGTGTCGGAAATTTTTATTTAATTGATTTAGTTTTATCTCAATTTGTCCGTTTTTTATTTTTGTTTTATGTTTTTACAGGCCCATATGCGGCTTGTCTTTATAAAAATTTCTATCACATTGAGACTTGCACACTTTGATACAGCGCGTGACTACACTCTACAGTTCACTGTTACAAACACAGTCACGTCTTCACAGCCGTTGCGTGGTAGCGGCTTTCACCGGCGGACGTTCCTCTTCTTCTGGGTTTCCGAACAGCCCCCGTTCTCAGTCACCAACCTCTAACAGCACCAGAGTCAGAGTTACATGAAGACAGGCGGACACGCAATCAGTTTACCTTGGCGCCAAGCCCTTTGAGGCTCTCGACCAGAAATTTCTTTGAACATACCCTTTGCGATCATAGTCCTCATGTAACGTCCCCTCTGCCGAAGGGATGGGTTTATCTCTTATGAAGAGACAATGTGGATCTATACATCCACTCCCCCATACGTTTTAATGGCGCAGTGTTTAATTAGTTAAGCACGGGGGCAAATTCACCTTTATGAATGGTTTATGGGTTCGGTAGGGCTACGTGGAGAGCTACCCTTTTGCCAATTCAAGGACTGAGTTCCGTTCAGAAACTAAAGGAAATGGAGTGCCCTTCTTCTTGGACGTCCAAAGCCCCACACAAGGGGCAACTTTACCTTTTCGTATGGCATAGAAGGGGGAACTACACTGACTTCATTTAGCAACACTGTAAACACGAAACACGGATCGCAGTAGCGCGGAAGGCACAGCAGTTCCCTCCGAGTTTCAGCGCGCCTGATGATGGCCGAGTGGGCCGAAACATGTAGTGCAGTGGCGGATTTAAAAAGGATTTAATTTTAAATCTTGATATTATTGCATGGAGAGCGGTAAACAACTGAAAATAAATTCTAATACCAACTGCAACAGGATGCTAAGATAGACATTTGCATCGTTGTGTACAGGCAGGAACAGAAACTCATCTCCAATGAAGCAGGCAGTGGCAAATCAAAACACAAATATATACAATTAAACCTGATCACAGGGGTAAACTCCTACGCATTAAAATCCAATTAAGTTCAGTTACAGCGTCTGCTGCTGCCGTGCGGGCTCATTGGTAGTCATTATTCATCAATCAATTTAGTCACTCATTGCGGTCGCGCAGCGTTGGGTCGTTTGAAAATTGGTACGGCATGTAGCAGAGGGGGGAGGGGCTCACCAATATTCCTCACACTGTGGTACATGTACCCCTAGGCAGATACCAACCTTTGGGGTTCGGGAACGATAAATCGAAATTCCTGAAATCGTAAGTTAACTTTTACGTTTCCTATATTTACGTGTCTTTAAACAATAATGCGTGACCATGACCATAAACAGTGAATCATTTTTCTGTGGTAGGGTTATACTAAAATTTTCTCAAGTTCTCTGTAAAAAATGAAATAATAATAAATTCATGGTCTATTATTATTATGAACCAATATACCGTGACAAGATTATATAATTCAGTCACATATAAAAACGATCTCTACCTGATATAAAGCGCTGATATTGGAAAATATCAAAAGACGGGAACATTAATACAGAATAAATCCCAAATAAAAATAATAAAAACAAATTGGAGGATTATATAACAAATATTTAACATTTAAAAGTTATCATTCTTAAAATAAAATTTTAAAACACACGAAGCATTAATCTCCCCATCCATCCTATTTCGCCGCTGGACAGCAGAAAACGTAACCTGAATGAATTTACAGTCACGTGATTCAATTTGTATCATGCGGTTTCCAGTCTACTTCAGTAAGTAGAAGGTAAAGGTATCTCTGTAACAGGCCGTGGAGGCTCATTGGGTTGTGAGACGTCGAAGCTCCCACATTTTCTAGACAATCGGCTCACACATGGCTGTGAGGTCAGCCTTAAGCGCCAGCCGTCCTTTATTTCTTATTACTCATTTCTGTTAGAGGCTGCAAGGATAAGGTTAATTGAAAAAAAAAAATCCACCTCCTCGGGACTCTAACCCGCGACTTTCCGGCTTGAAGCATAGTGCCTCAACCAACTATGATACCGCGTACCCCAAACTTCAGCATGTACGGTGAATTATTTAAAAGCAAAGCCGCGACATTTCCCGCCAGAAGATTATCGGCGAAATTTACAAGTTATCCGCTCAGAATCTGTTCTCGCCGCCTGGGGTGCTGGCCAGTGATTGGGGGGTATAGTTAGGGCGCCAAATTCTATGACAGATCACCCCAATATCGTCATAACAACAGGTCACAACAACGCATTCAAAGCAGATTCGAAACGGCTCTGATGATGACGTATGACACTCAGAATTACTGGGTTTTTGTACTTTCTCCATCGCCCGGTATTCTAAAAACACCAGAGAACACGACGTTTCGGATACTGCGTCTGTTTCCATTTTCAGGTGAGGGAGGAGACACCTACTCTTTTGGGTATCTTAGAAAGAGCTAACTTTAGTTACTGCAATACCGGACGATGGACAAAGTCCAAGGACCCAATAATTCTGAACACACTCCAAATTCGCCAAGAAATCAAGCGCTTGTGCCACTTCCACAGCAGGCCCCATTACAGGTGCTTGTGCTCCTTTCCTAGCAATGGCTGCAAGGAACTGGAGGAAATCGTGAAAGCCGCAGTTAGAATGGTTGTCTTCCAGACCGATATTCGAACCTGGGACCCCTGGGAATGAGACGTGAATGCGCTGAGCAGCCGTCCGCGACATCCGTCCAATCGCGGTCGAGTCAGTAACTAAGAGACTGAGTGAATGAGTAACAGGCTGAATTTATCCGTGGATGATTGAATCAGTTATTAAGTTATTGATTGAATACGAGATCGTGTGAATTAGTGAGTGAATAAGAGATTGCAGACCACTGGGACAAAGCGAGTGGCCACAGCTGTGCGCTCTGAACTCATATTTGGGAGGTGTTCGGTTCGATTCTCTCCCATAAGATTTTCACAACTCCCAGATACTTTAGATATTAAAATATGAACATGAGTCCTATGGGAGTTCACCTGAGGAAGGAAGCAGATTCAGTTTCTGTAACGTCCAGAATTCCGGACGATGGACAAAGTCCGAAAACCCAGTAATTCTGAGTGTT